GGAAATCTATAGGGCCTGTTAAAGGTGGAACTCAGGAGGGGCCCAAGGCCAAAGATACCACCAAATCGATGGAGGTCACCCAGGCATGTGCTCCAGGAAGACCTGATCCTGCTTCTGGGAGTAGACCAATTTCCAAAGCAGTCAGTCAGAGTCCTACTAGCACCTCCCCGCAGGTGAAGACTGTCATTACTCCTAAGAATGGCTCTTGATCGTGTGCTAGTTGAAAAAATAATTGCCTTTATTGAGGGTTTAGCAGAATTCAATGTTTTTGAGCACTTAGAAATTTAGGGACATTCCAGCCAGTGAAAAAAAAAAGACGAAATCATATTACGCTGAACAAAGGACAACAATTCCAAGGTTATTTTAAAGGCTGTTATCTATTGTACACGCAGAGCTGCATCAGAAAAAGAGTATAGATGTATTATATTAGAATGTGTGTTGGGTGTTTGTGTGTGCGAGGAGGTGAATGGGTGCATGTTTCGTGGTGCTTGTGCAACAAGGTGAAAAATCGACAAGTGCAAAGTGCTTTAACAGATCAAACAATGCTGAATACTGTGAACACCAAAACTATGTTCCTACATTTTCTAAGGTGACCAACCACATCATTTCCTTAAACACAAAAACTGAAAAGAATTTGCTCAAGGTAACAGCTTATCAAGTTTTTAGCATAGACAGAACGTAATCAAGGACACATTGCTTCCATTGCTGTATTTTTTTGGCTTATTACATGATTCAGGAGTTTATAATCAGGTTTAGCATATCCATTAATAGATTAGTACATACTGCCTTAGCCATGAGGAGAATGTTGGCACAAATAGCCTTGTGGGCAGCGCGCTGACATGTATAGCCATTGCGCTTCGGGCATCCTGAGTTTGAATCCCAGCTCGCGGACCTTTCCCAACCCCATTCCCCCCTCTTCCACTTCCTGTCCACTTCCTGTCCTATTGAAATAAAAGGCATAAAAATGCCAAAAATAAAGCCATGACGAGGATGCTGGCTAAACCATAGATTCATTAAAATTCCCTCTTAACCAAATCTCTCATCATACTGAATTAAGACTTTTGAAACTGTTGACATTTTGTCGATTTTGTTGATCGCTGCCTTCTGAGGTAAATATCATAGGCCCTTTATGGCAAGCTGGTGCATTCGGTGTCCACTTTTGAATGGGGAAAGTCTAAAACTTGTTAAATCAATACAATCAACTTTGCTATTAATTCTCAAATCAAACTAACTAAACTAAAAAGACAATGTTGTTCCTCCAAGACAACCATTGATCTTACCATAGAAGAAGACAGTTCCTTAGTATGCATTGGCAAGCAGGCGCCTCTATGTTTGCATACTTGCCAAGAGTATGTTTCTAGCCTTACAGTGTCTCTGTAAATAAGTTTACAGGCAGATTTGATTCATACTCACAAGTAGGTCAGTGCTATCCACAGCTCTTGACACGGGCTGGTGCATCTTTACTCTCTTCTGTGCTACTGAAAGTAAAAGTTTCTTTAAAAGTGATCGTTGACCTCACTGTGACTAGCGCTCAAGTCTCATATTCGCTACCTGAATAATAGTTCTTCAACCATGGGGGTTTGCAATAGTAAGGGGTCAAGGTTTGACTGGTTAGCATGCCCCGGTTAGCCCCTGCTGGTAGATGTCATAACTACACCATCTGGCTGCAAAGAGAGAATTGACAGCTATTTAAAAGTAGCTGTGTATTGAAATGAATGCTAATGCATTTTGAAAATCAGTAATATGAGAGAAGTGGTTAAGGTTTTGAACATCTTTGCATTTTTGCAATGGAGAAGTGACTATTAAAATGTGAGATCATAAACTTATTTAAAAACCTTATGGATTTAAGTGCTAAATGCATATCAACTGTTTTAGATGGCATCCTTCATGAGCATCGTCGTAACAGGTCTTGATTACAGAGATTGTTGGATCAGCACATTTATGATGATTGTTGGAATCTGCAGAGTGAAGGAGGATTGTATGGTAAATATATTCTATAGTTACTCAAGCATCAGTAAATGTCACTGTTGTCATGGCAACTTGGAGCTGGTGTAGCCTGCCGTCTGTTGGCGTTTCTTTGTATGATCTGAATGTTGTTCACTAACATGCAATGAAAATGTCACTAACATTTGTTCTAAAGTAACTCTGTTTTCACTTAAGCATATGCAAAACAAATGTTTGTAGGGATGCGACGGATGCTTTTTTGCAGCGTTTGTTCTTTTGCCATTTCCAATGAAACATCACTAGGAAACGGTTGTGAAGATGAACAGTGATTTACTACAGTAACCATAGTTTATCTATGGTATTAGTAGTAAAACATAGTAAAGAAATGGAATAAAACAGTAATAAACTAAATAGTATAAATTGTATTTGTCTCAGTATTATCAATTTCATAATTATGTAAGCAAATAAAAAAAAACAGACAGCATAGGTTTGTGCTTTCAAAAGACTCACAAAACTGCACATCTTAGACATTTTCAGTCATCTGTCAGATTTTGACACTTTATTTTGTGAACAATTTTTGTTTCATTTAAATTCATTTATTTATTAATTCTGTGTATAAGCATATTGCATAAATATGCATATGAGCATATTGCTAAATAGAATACAAATATACATCATGATGACTGATTGGAGGCGTGGCAGGAATAGATGGAGTTATGCTGCCATCTGATGGCTAACAGGAACACTGTCACTATTTTACACCCTAGATTTACATGGTAATAGTAGTAGGAGTTGCAATCAGTGACAAGACCAAGAGTGCTTTATTTATTTGTATTTCATAGTACCGTACAGAGGTATTGATTTACTGTAGCATGATGATGCCTTTGGATAGTCATTTAGATATCTATTAATCCTTCCGTAAATGTATTCTGACGCTGTTTATCTCTCAAGCAGCTCTGTCATCTGAAATATCTTTTGCTGTTTCATATCTGGCTCCAGTGTTTGTGAGATTTCTTTATATCTATTAAAAACATTTATTTATTGTAGTATACAATAACATATTGTAGTATACAGAAACTCAACACAGAATATATCGGAGAGTTATTTGGATGTATCAGTGAAATGGAGACGTGACGACAACATATGCACAAAATAATGTAAAGATTTTGGGTGAATGCGTTAATGTGTCTGATGTTATGTTTGTAACACACCATTCTCGTCATATTCGGCCCTTTCCCGTGCATGAACTCTCAGTTGTGGTTAAAGGCAACTAACACTTCACTGGCCTGAATGTTTCCACTTTATATCATGTGACTGTTATAGCTGATCGAATACGAGACTAATGTTTTATAATGTTCACTTAATCTGTACTGTAAAGCCCTGTGTCTTATTCGATTCTGAATTGTTTGATTTACACTGCAGTGTGAACTGAAAAACAAAAATCCACACATATTAAAAGTATGCTGTCCACTCGTATGTATCAGAATATATTCTTATGTGTTTGTGTTTATGTGGCCATATTTGCAAATATTTCTGTTTTTTAATGTAATTTCCTATAAAAAGTGATTTTTTTTTGAGAATGCACTTTATTTCATGTAATTTTTTTATGCGTTCTTTGTTGTTTTATCAAACTGTCCAAAATTCTGTACAATACTGTGCATAGAGGTAAATAAAGACAAAGATATTCCGTTCTAATGTGAATGTCCTACATATAGGAGAAATGAAGAGTATCTCAGTCTTGTATCACCTGTTATGTGGCATTTTGGACATGAATTTGTTAATTTATTCTATTTATTTGACTCTGTACATCACTTTTACTTACAGCAAATGTCAATCGATCCATTAACTGAGGTGCAGTGTGTGTAGTCAATTAATAAAGAGATATTGTTTCAAATTACATGCTTCTTTTATTTGCTTAATAACTCGAACCGGAAAGTCAATCAAGACAAACTGTGAATGTTGAACTTCGTCTGTTTGAGTTGCTAGGGTTTTTATTTTTTGTCTGTTTGCTAAAGTATTGCTAGATTCTTGGTCAAGTCAGCATTGTTATAGACTTTTGGTCACAGAGCTTTTGACCTCTCTTATCACATTTATGGATTATTAGTTAACATTACTCAAACTTACCTTTTGTAAATACAAAAACTAGCTAAATACTGTTATCATGATCACAATAATGATGCTTTTAGTGCTCTGCAAGCAGAATTTACTCAATTGCAAACAAAGCATAACGCTACCATGACTTTTTACTGGTTTATACAAGTAACTGTGAATGTCTGACACAACTTTTTCTACCAACTTAAAAAGGAACACTCCACTATTTTTGAAAATAGGCTCATTTTCCAACTCCCCTAGAGTTAAACAGTTGAGTTTTACCGTTTTCGAATCCATTCAGCCGATCTCCGGGTCTGGCGGTAGCACTTTTAGCTGTAGCTTAGCATAGATCATTGAATCTGATCAGACCGTTAGCATCTCGCTCAAAAATGACCAAAGAGTTTCTATATTTTTTCTATTTAGCCATATCGGCCTACAAAATCACAACTTTTAATTTTCCGTCGGTCTTAGTACACAATGTAACTACAGAAGAGTCAAGTTTTAAATAGGAAAAATATAGAAACTCTTTGCATTTTTGAGCGAGATGCTAACGGTCTAATCAGATTCAATGATCTATGCTAAGCTACAGCTAAAAGTGCTACCGCCAGACCCGGAGATCGGCTGAATGGATTCGAAAACGGTAAAACTCAACTGTTTAACTCTAGGGGAGTTGGAAAATGAGCCTATTTTCAAAAATAGTGGAGTGTTCCTTTAAAAACTGCAACGTGTGGACATTTTTTTTCCCTCATCAATGTAAAATCTGACTAACCAAATAAATACCAAAATATTTTCTTTCCTTTTGATGCCCCAGACTATTGTTTTAATTTATATTCGTCTTATGTACGTATTTGAAAAATTAAATAAATAAATAAAATAATTTATAATTAATTGACTACAGTTTCTCGTACGTGTAGATCGTCCAATCATCAAACGGCAACGGTCAAACCTGACCAATCACGTCGCTCGGTGGGCGGGTCGAGGGTGTGTATCCGCAATGACAACAGGAAGTGGCTGCATACTGGTTTAATCTCTCGCTGTTTTATACACTATTCGTCTCAGCTGACAGTTTGAGAGCCGCGCAAGATTGTAAAGACGCAGAAACTCATGACTACATTTGTAATCGATCCTCGCCACGATAACGGCGCCTGAAGAGGCCTGAGCTCGGTTTCACACAGCGGTCGTCCTTGCCAGACATCCAGAGCAGCTCGACACTGGACATCGCTATTTATAGGAGAAGAAGGAAAATATCCGGAACATTAAACATGCCGGGTCTAACATGAAGGTAACGCCTCTAGCTGGTTAAAATGGCTTTTGAAGTGCACTAGAGTCAGTGTCTGGAAACATGATATCTGTCTTCACACTACATACTAAAATATTTCACAACCCACAGAATCAGGCTGCCTTATAACGATTCACAGTGAATTGGGTATTTTTTAGGGCATTAAAAGCTGTATCATGACTAAAAGTAGGCGATTGATCCGTTCAGACATGAATTACTTATTTACATTGACATTATTTCACATTTAACCACCAAAAAACGGGGTTTCCTCCTAGGCTGTGTTCTAAATGACATACTAGTGTACTTCGTACTGCATTATTGGCAATATGTACATTATATAGCCTACTTAATAGTCTTCTATAATGGCATGTCACGTGACATCAAGAAGTTGCATGTTGAATTGAGCGAGTGCAGTCTAGTTATTATTTGTAAATAAAAGATGCTAAATGACTGTTTTTCCCCTCCGATTTTGTGTAAAATGTCTTACATTTTAGCAGTCAAAATCGATTGTTGTTCATAGTATGACGTGACAGGAACGCACTGCATTGTGGGAAACACATTTTGACACATGAAATGAGTATTTTGTGCAAACAGAAAATTCACACACTATTATCATGCCATTAATCTGGTATTATTGTAGTACGCTATTATGAATGAAGCCATTGTGATGACCTGGGTGTTCACTTTTTTCTGCTGAGCTCAGTGGTCACATGGTCTAAAATTCACATGTATCCACTGTCCCCGAGCAGTCTAGTGTGCAAGAATGAAGTGGACATTTTTCAGCTTTTGCATTATTGGGAAATTATGTCGCCTCTCATCGTAAACTGATCTCATTTCCCTTCGTTAGACTGTAAGCTCAAACTTCCTTGAGAGAATAAGGAAATGGGAAGTCTGAATATTTCCACTGTAATGTGTGCTTGAACTCTTGTGGCCGTCAGCCGCCACACCTGTCCCCTCAGCCAGGGCTCATGTGACAGGCTGGTTTCTCACACACAGCTTGTTTGTTTGCGTAACACACAGGTGGAATGTTTTCGAGATTGAAAGGTGTGTATTATAATGTCACATTACAGTGAGTAATTAAAGTTGTGTGACTTCTTTGATGTTTCTACAGAAAGTACCGTAACTCTGTTATGGTATTGATTTGAATATTCATGTTGGTAATGTTTGTTCGTGTAAATTAATAATTTATATATATACACACACACACACACATACATATA